ATAGTAATAATACATGTAATATTAACATAGCTCCCTTGGCAGTGATCAGGTGTTTTGCTGCAGATATATTGTGATTATTATCATAATGATTGTGAAGTTATTTTTAGAACAAAAGCTAATAAGAAGACACATTCTTCACGACAGGTGCAAATTGCCATGCGGAAAGAGGTGCTGCGGTCAGGGGTCAGAGGTCAGGGGGTCAGAGGTCAGGGGTCAGAGGATAGAGGTTAGGGGCCAGGGTTATACATAAACAAACAGACAGGTTGCCAGAAAATGTGAGTGCAGGAATTGAAAAAACAATATTTTTGAAGAAAAATAGAAAACACTCACAGTAAGCCACTGTAAACGACATCATTATGATCATTATCATCATAATTATCATAGTTGTTACTGTTATTATCTTGTCAGCCATGCTTTAAAAAGTGGGAGGAGCTCTTACAACACAACAAAAAGGTACGAAAGAAACAGAAGTACGACACGGAATCAAAACAGTCATGTCAAGAAATAAACAGTAGTTCAGAGGCGATTAATAAAAAGTGACACAGTGCGATGGGGCGGACGAGAAGAAGATTCGACAGCGGAAAGAAAACGAATGAATCATCAATCTTCATAATATTCTTGCATATCATGAGGTAGGTAGTGGGCTTTGTAAAAATAATTATTCTGCGGTAAAATGAAAAGCAGGAGCAGGGAAAAAAAATTGTGAAGATTTAAAGTTACTGTAAAAACATTTTTTGGTGAATCTCTGATTACACGTGTTCTTTTTTTTTTTTACATTGACTGAAACCAAAACAAAACATAATTTGAGGTAGATCCAGACACATACATAATGGACAATAATTATTCATCTGCGAGGCAAAAAAGAAAAAAAAACCCAAAACAAAACCAAAAAACAAAACAGAACAAAAACAAAACGTAACGACGGAGGTATATAATCTATGATACACATCACATTGTTGTAGTAAATTCTTCGGTTTGTGATTTGCTTTGATATAGCCACTTCAGACTACAGATATATATATATATATATAACAATTATGTATTCATTTATATAGGTCTGAAAGGGCACAGGTCTCCTACCCCTTTCTCCCCCCCCCCCTCTAAAACCACCCCAAATACAGAACAGCTTCCTCCATCTTCCTCCCAGACTCCTAGCAAATGCTCTAAAACAAAATATTAAAAAAACCCAACAAACCCTTTATCTACATCGAAATCAGCAAAGCAGGGAGCAGAAATGAAGACAATACTATCGTTCGATTTTAAAACAAACAAACAGATTATTTTTTGGGGTGTTTAGTGACATTGAAAAAGGGGTGGGGTGGGTTGAG